ACAGACTGGGGTACGGGTGTTGAGGGGGAGGGGGGGGTCGTGTAGTGGGGGTGTGGGGGTCGGGGTGGCTGTGGGCCGGGGGGGTGCGTTGTGTTGGGGTCGTGGGTGTGTGGTGGGGGGGGGCGCTAAAAAGTGGAAAAGAGGGCGCGGGGGAAGGGGGGGGGGTGGGGGGGGGGCGGTCACAAGACCCTGAAATAACGGGGGGCTCCCGGTCTCCAAAAAAAAAAAATTTTCTACCCTTCGGGCCTCAGTTTGGGCTACAAATATGGAGGGGGGCCTGGGTCCGCCACTGCTAACAGATATGCTTTTTCCCTGTCCGACTCTAGAACCGGGTATAAAGATCAAGGGGTATATTTTTTCTTCATTTAGACTCTAGAACCTTATTTAGGTGCGAAACTATTCTACCCTTGTTATTTATCACTGAGCAGGACGTAGGAACAGGAAAAGGTCCATACCCCGACAATACATTTAAGGGAGTACCCCCGAGCTAACAATTAGCAAATTTAAACCAACCTCGTCCTCAGGGCGCTTTTCCATGGTTGTGTAAAGTAATTTACTTACCATAGGTGACGCGTGACCTTTCTGCTGGACGCGTCGGTGTCGCGTTACAGACGACCGTTGAAAGTAAGAGACTTGTATAAGAAATAAGATACTGAGATCTGCGAACGCTAATATTGCATAACCACTGTTACTTTCTTCGTTTTATGAAACAGAGGCCATGGGGGAACTCGGAAATGGCCTAGTACTTTACACTCTTTCCTCATAACATGAGTTTGGCTACCTGTGCACAACCCAGACGCTCCATAGCGTCTTGTTTAATGATGTTTTTTTCCCCTTTGGCTTGTTTCCCTTCAGTATTACTGCTGACCCTTAACAGCTCACGAGGTTTTTGCGATAATGCATTTCTACTTATATTTTCAAAGCAGAACATCTTTCTTTTGAAGAGACTCTTTCCTATTTACAAGGGTTGCTTGAGGCATTTCACGACCCCGCCCTAATCTCCTTCAGTAGAGGGCAACCTCGTTTCCAGATCTCTGTTCCTGTCCTTTCGGGCGGCGTGACAGGTAGATGGAAGTGAATTTGAGGGAGAGATAGTTCGCTAGCCTAGTTGGCATTTATGTCATCGGCATGCTGCCTTCGCCCTCCTGGATTTAAAAGGTGTGGACATGAAATTAAGGTCTATTTTAATTTTTGTATTTTATTTAGAAAAAAGGAAAACATGCATGGCAGCTGTGAAGACCGGCTCCCATCAGGGAAGGTTCGTAAACGAGAGACAATTATTTTATGGAACCAGCCCTGAAATTGTGGAAGCTATCTGTAATCAGAACTTTGACTGGCGTCTTCATGGGAAGAACGCAACTGTTTACGGAGAAGGAAGCTATTTTGCATTAAACTCTTCCTACACAGCGATAGTTACGCTAAGGAAGTTTCCAAAGGGTCTAAGTTCATGTTCGTGGCCAGGCAAGGTCCTCGTTGGGTCTTACACTACTGGCCAGTCCAGTTATCGAAGGCCACCGTCAAAGGAGCCTTCGAACCCAGCAAGTGATCTGTACGATTCGTGTGTTGATGATATGTCATGTCCTACCATTTTCGTCATTTTTGATACTGATCAGTTCTACCCGGAGTACATAATCAAATACTCCACATCTCAAGGCAGCTATTAGCAGCCTGCATTAAGAGCACCTGTTCCAAAACCTTGACACTCACAGGCAACAGTTTGGGACCTTTATCAACCACAACGAAGACGCCGGCACTGAAAACGCCACAATGAACTTCCATTCTCTCAAAATTTATGTTTATTCAGCCTCAGTTTGTCTTGTAGGCAACTGAATTTTCTTGAAGTTAAACTCTTTACCGCTGTATTGCACTTTAAAAAGAGAAGGAATAAAATTGCCGTTGTTGTGCACGTGTTTTAACGTCCCATCGCGCAGAACGCCTATTGTTCTCGGGACATTTACTTTCAGTTCGAAAAAGTTTGTAGATCTGTCATATCACGCGTTATTTTGCGTGGACGATATGAAAGCGCTTCAAAAATTGGTTGCCTTGAACGCACTCGGATGCTCATTAATATGATGTAGGTGGCAAACTAAACAAAGAAGGCAGTTCGCTATTGCTTCTTCTTTTATTTTAGCATATTTCGCAACGATCACTTAAAAACTCACTATTGCATCGCATTAGTACGTTTCTCGTTGTAGCGAACGTCAAAGAAACATACCAAAACGTGTGCCTGGTTTTTGTGGACGTTCTCGCTGACGTCATCTGCGTGGTTGTTAAAGCTCTCTATTTTTAACGGTCAATTGCACACCCTGCAGTCGTAACCAAGCCTTTAAGGCAATGTTACAAGTGACCATAAGCGACGATGATTTTGGGCAACAATTTTAGAACAATGTTGTAACAATTAGAACAATATCGCAACAGTGTTGCAAAGCTGTGTTGCGCTGAAAATGGTTGGTACAAAACGTTATTTCCGTGTAACATCGCGTTTAGTCACGGTAGATTT